ACGTTGCAATATTATTTCAGTTAAACACCATGCACACTCTCGTTCCATCTTGTAGATCACCCGGAAAGAAGAAATAGGAGCCGGGGAAGGAGGCTCTTCTCGCACAGTAATTTTCCGCCTACCCTATTTTCCACTACAAACACAGTGACCGTTTCTTCAAGACTTTCTACAGTGATTTCTATAGCTGATCTAACTCATTAATCGTGGCACTTTACAGTAACTTCACAATTCATTCCAATGCTACGCTCCCTGGCCAACGGAATCGCCTTTAGGCGTCTTGGTACTGGTAAAACTAGAAGAAACATCTACTCGCACCTCTGTGAAAGGTTGACCTTGAGAACAGTTAAATTTCATTGGCTTCTCCATTTAATTCGATTACATTTGTTGAACAACAAACGGTTCTCTAGGCAACAAAGTAACTCTCTATCTACTGAAAAAAAGAAATGAAACCGGGAGATAAATAGATCATAGCTATAGCTTATTTGAATCACTTCCCAATTTTAAACTTCATCGGCACGGGTTTGTTGACGTGAAGCATCTACGCGATTGTAAATGTAAGGTATGGCTTCGAACTGTACATCGTACAGTAGGAATCCTTTGCAAATCTTCGCGGTTATCACCACGAATAGACCTGTCCACATGTATACAATCGCACGTAAAATGCAGCTTTCAACCGAACCTAACTATCTTTTAGTTCTTTGGTACTACACAAATCTAACGTGCGTCGCAGACGCTACATACCGCCGGTTACTAGCGTCTGCAAAGTAGCGCACAGAACCTTGTTCTAGACCCTCGACAGAGAAACGAATGCGGGAAGTCGTTTTCGAAATCTTTCTTAATTGTAATTGGTTACCCGAAAAAAAAAAATTTCTTGCCTTTCGTCACGCAATATCAGCCATCAGTACCTAACAAATACTAACGCAAAACTGGCATTTAATCCAAAATTAACCATCGCTTAGCGAAATATTTGAAGATCCCCCCTCACCCCGTTGTTATCACCTCCACATAGCGGTAGACACGAGTAGTTCCTCTTTCGCTTAGTCCGTCGTGCGTGACGCGAAAGAAAATAGCGACAAAAAAATGGCCGCGCGAAATCCTGGGGGCGAACTATCATTCGTTATCGAAATAGCTGGAGTATTCAATTTGGTCAAATATCGAACTTGGTCCTCCATCAGCGATCGCAACGGTGAAATAACAATAACGACGTTTGAACCACGAGGTTTGTTATTTACGATGTCCGCGACAATCGGGATGTATTAAAATATTAAGGACTAACCAAAACCAGAGGGTAAATTAACAAAATTGTTTTCCCTTAGAAGAATGATTTATCGCATCTCGTTGTTCGGGGAGAAGATTCAACTCTTCGAACTGAGATTTCACCGCTTCAAAATCTCCTTCCTACCACGTGTGTTGTATCGTTTGATACCTGTACAACGTTGGATCATTTCCGGTTGTAGTAAGTAGTTCGTTAGAGGTTTCAGACAAAGATTTGTACACTAATTCGCAGACGGTTATTTGCAGGGAAATTTCCTTCTGCAACGCAGCGTACACCTGTACACAGATCGCGCGTTCTGTGACTTTCCCGCAAATACCAATCGGCTCATGTGAAGTTCTTTCCATTTCTGCCAAGAGAACACGAACCTCACATTCCGTGTTAAGTGTACCGAAATACTTCTCAATTACTAAACTCACTGCTAAAGAATTATTGACCTCGGTTATCGCATCTTGCGGATACAACACCCTCTCAACGCTGCCGACCGGTTGCCTTTCGTGAGAAAACGAAAGACAACTGACCAATACAAAGCAAAGAGGTGCTGCTCTTTTTACTCACTATCGTAAATTGCCCTTGCCAGTTTTTTTATGTTTGTTATGTTTTTATTTTTTTGATCAAATGGTAATCTTCCTTAGTTCTACCATGCACCACTATAGACTATGAAATAAACAGCGGGCTGCAGTAGAATGGAACAGCTATGTTACGAATGTGGTAGGCGTGATTTCATAATGCTGATAAAATACACCTACCGGCCTCCTGAGACACAAAAACGGCTGTCAAAGACACAGCACCAACTAAAATGGATGCGAGAAGGTCCAAGCGTACACCAAGCCATCGCCCACTGGCCCTCACCATAATATACGCCTGATTATGAACATCTTGATATCTAACGGAAAAAAGCACACTAAGTAAATGAACTAGCCAGTCCAAAAACCCTTATCCCTTCCCTTGGATCACATTGGCTAAAGCGATAATGATCAGCTCGATACATCTTCAGTCAGCAATAATCTATGTACATTCCGTGTGTAACTATTTTAAATTCGTTTCGAAAATGTCCTATCCTGAAATTGATAACGTAAACAAGGTGATCAGGTATTTATGATGGACCTAAAAGATGTCATTACAGCAACTTGGAGAAAGTGGGAAATAAAACTGCCATTCCAAACGGAAATGTTAGAACACCAAGCAGGCTGTCCCCGTCACCCAGCTTCCAGTGTTGAAAATCAGTTATGTTTTACTGTTTCAGATAAAAAAAAACAAAAAAAAAAACGTGCCATCGTCTAGTATTATTTAGAGGGGATGGGAGATATGTGGTCCAGCTTTAATGCCCTATCTACTTTCATCTAGGATTGACGGTGATTCTACTTTTCGTTAGTACCACACTATTCCACACTTAGCACTGCGACATTCATCTTAGAGTTAAAGACTGCAGATACTAAACTAATGCACCTGTAAAACTGATCCACGAAATCCCTTTGTCTGCCTCTTGTTCGAATCGTGTCCAGTCCATTCAGGGTCTCGGAAAAGTGAGAGAAGACTGGACTGCGGCATATTGACTCTAACCTTTTGAGCTCTCTGGACGTCTTCAAGTAATACGTGGAGATGCACAAGACTAACACAATCAACGGAATAACAAGAAATAGAAGCCAAGGATTTGTAATAGTTGGTATAATTGTTGATGCAAACACCATCAAGACACACTGGATAGATAATAGAAAATTCCTTGGCAACAGCTCGTCAAGGCAGCCTACATCTTTAGAAAATCGATTGAGTATTCTTCCCACGGGATTTGAATCAAAGAATAGAACCGGTGCTTGTAAAATTGCCAAAACCATTTTGTTATGAAGACGCTCAGAACATCTAAGCAAAACCTGAAGGAATGCATATGCTCGGGTGACGGCAAAGATAAGGGACGCACCGACGAGACAAGCATAGATAGTGAGGTTTGTGCTGTCTTTCTGATCTGTTGGACGTTTCTTTGTTAGTGACGTGAGCCAGACGTCAGGTGCAACTATCACTGCTGAGAAAAGAAAGAGGCGAAGTAATCGTAATAGAACCTAAAACTTCGTGACAAAGACACAAACATTAATAAAGAAGTCTAATATAATCTTACAAGAAATACAAAACTAAAATCCTCCGCAGGGAAAAAATGATGGCGACAGGTAGATTTACCCATAATTCTTAGCGCATGAAAACTTTAACAAGGCTCATAAAAACGTACAGAAAAGTTCTAACATCCTCGAACCTAGCATACCCAATGTCGTTAGCACAGGGACAAATTTTGCAAAAATATGACTTTCCTCGTACTTAATGGGCTGTGTAAAGCTGGCATGGTATTGTGGCAAAATGTGCAGCCGCCATCTTTTTTTTTCCATGGAGGATTGTGTACGATTACTACACATGAACGACCAGTTGCAATATTAACTCTTACCTTGCGCTATGAAGCACAAACAAATTACTGCACAGATTATTGACCAATGTACTCCACTTCTAAAGTAGTTCCAGTAAATCTTTGATGAAACCACTCCGATGGAACGATCTTCTTGTGATATTTCCAGACCACTAGCTTCATTGGACAGTGGAACCGTTGTTTCACAGCCATCGACATCTTCGTTTTTCTGTTCAATCTCCCGCGCAAAGCTCTTAGTTAGCTTGCTTTCTTTCCCAGCTGTCTGATAGAGCGGGTCAACAGTCGTGTTTAGAATACCGTTTTCTTGTAGTTCAGTGAAACTTCCCTTTTCCAACACGCGGCCTCTGTATAACACAATTACTTTATCAGCT